CCCTCAGGGGTGATACTGACCGCTCCCTCAGGGTTCGCATCAGTGTGGTCCAAGGTTCATGTCTCCGCACACACACACATTACATTTCATATGATTGAGATCTCCAGAGGTGATGAATTAGACAGTTGTACAACACTTGGGTAATCTTTATTGTGAAAATGTTTCGCTAACCAGTGACTTCCTCAGTCTAATACAGAGAAGAATGGTTGAAGATCAGAAGGAGTTTGAGGTAATCAATCACCCAGCCTGGTGTTTATGTAATCAGTCCATCAATCTTGATAAGAGTACTGTTATCAAGATTGCTGGACTGTCCAACACAGTGACACCTTCCTGTAGTCTACAGCTCTCTTCACTTCCTATACATTCATTTATCTTCAATCGTTGTATTATGATGGACAGTGGATATGCAAGTTTCTGTGTTCATTAACCTTCAGAATCACTGACTATTCATTTCTCATTTAAGTTATTAAATGTTTTTAAACTTGCCAGCAAAATTCACAAAGGTAGTAGTGTCTGTAAACTAGCAGCATAGGACTGAATTAGATTCAGTTGAACACAGAGACAGCGGCAGTGAACACCGCCATCATCTCATTATAAAGCACCAGAGAGAGAGAGAGCTGACGTTCCTAGAGATGTTCACTTCACACTCACACGTGAAGTCATGCTGAACAACAACATCCAAAGTCTCTGCAGTAATCGGAATCAAAGATGCTACATCACGCACAGTCGCTACAACAGGCAAGATCAGTGGAACAAGCAATCATTGCGACAAGCAGAATCAAAGTTGCTACAACGAGAGAGTAACTACAATTGGCAGAGTCAATCCAACAAGCAGAATCATAGTAACAAGCAGAGTAACTACAACAGAGTCGCTACAACAGGCAGAGTCACTGCAACAATCAGAGCCACTACAACAAGCAGAGTCACTGTAACAGAGTCACTATAACAATCACTACAACAAGACACACTACAACAAGCACAGTCACAGTAACAGAGTTACTACAACAAGAAGACTCACTATAACAGTCACTGTAACAGTCACTACAGCAAGCAGAGTCACATTAACAAGCAGAGTTACTACAACAAGCAGTGTTACTACAACAAGCAGATTCACTATAACTGAGTCACTACAATAGATTCATTACAACAGTCACAACAAGCAGAGTCACAACAACAAGCAGAGTCACGACAACAAGCAGAGTCACTATAACAAAAACAATACAACAGAATCACTATAACAGTCATTATAACAAGCAGAGTCACAACAGCAAGCAGAATCATAACAACCACAATAATTACAACAAGGAGAGTCATTACAACAGACACAGTCACTATAAGTCATTACAACAAGCAGAGTCACTGTAACAGTAACTACAACAAGCAGAGTCACTAAAACTGTCATTACAACAAGCAGAGTCACTAAAAACTGTCATTACAACAAACAGAGTCACTACAACAGAATCACAACAACAAGCAGTCACTATAACAATGGAAATAAGTCACTCTGTCTGACTTTATTGGGTTATCCCAGGTTCTCTACACATATGCTGCTATGTATGATAATTCTGTGTAACTGTATTTGTGTATACCTGAATAAACTTACTAACAGAATCACAACAACAAGCACAGTCACTATAACAGAGTCACAACAACAAGCAGAGTTACTATAACAGAGTCACAACAACAAGCAGAGTCACTATAACAGTCACAACAACAAGCAGAGTTTACCCTTTAACAAATCCACTATACCACAACTAAACAAGAAATGTAAAGCTAGGCTAAATGCTCTCAAAGCTGTTGCTGGCTACAATCCCAACTATGGTGCAAATGTGAGAATCGTGAGAATGATGTACATAGCCTATGTTAGGTCCTTAATTGATTATGCTGCTCCCATGTTGATATTAGCTAGAGAAAGTTCTCTCCGACCCTTGGAGTTAATGCAAAATGAAGCTCTCAGGATTATTCTTGGCTGTCCCAGATCTACAAAAGTTCTTAACATGAGGAAGGAGCTTGGTATTTCTAGTATCAGTGATAGGATTGTTGAAATTAACACTGTACTCGGTATTAGAATGTTGAGAAACGAACCAAACACTGTCACAGTGAATCTTACCAAGTGTCTAGAGGTAAATACACACAGATCTAAATGGATTGTGAAAACGTGCAATTGCATTAAGTTTTATAACCTGCATGAACTGTATCACTGTATGCAACAAGAGCATTTCACCCCTCCATGGAAGATGTGTTCATTTAATATCACATACCTACAAGTTCCTCCCAAGAAGCTCATTGCTAGTAATCCCTTCCTTAAATCTCTTGTTAGAGCAACTGCTCAAGAAGAAATTTCTCACCTAGCTGGTAGTAACAAGTTATCACAAGTTATATACACTGATGGATCTAAACAGGAGTCTTCTGGCAGGGCTGCATCTGCTCTTGTTGCCACCTCCCTAGTTAAGAACGATAATAAATTTGTTGAGTTAGGCATAAGAATTAACAACTGGGCGTCTACACTGCAAACTGAATTGTTTGCAATCCTAATGGCGCTAAAGCTAACCTATGACACTGAGCTTGACTCTATCATCATTACTGATTCTATGTCATCATTGAAGGCTCTTGGCTCATATAATGACTCCAACAACATGCTCATTGGGGAAGCCAGGTATAGATACTCAAAAATTAGGGACAAAGGAATTAATGTACAATTGCTTTGGATCCCATCACACATTGGATTACTCCTTCATGATAAAGTTGATATGTTAGCCAAGAAGAGTATCGAGAAGGAGAATGTAGAATATAACTTTGGTATAACTGTGTCTAGCATTAGGAATAATATTAGGAGAGAAGTAAATAATGAAAATGATTGTTATAGGAATGCAGTTAGAAGCCTGAGTAGATCTATAACCCACTATGATAACATGAACGTAGATAAGTATGTTTATGGAGCAACTTGCAATGTGAACAGACTGACTGATGTTGTAGTGGCCAGGCTTAGGCTTGGTTACAAGTACTTCTGGCAGTTTGGGAGACACACACATGATGATCAAACTAAATGTAAATTATGTGATCAGGCATATGGTCATTCTCTTGAACACTATGTGCTTAATTGTCCACTTATTGAGGAATACAGAGACAGACAGTATAATAACCTATGTGACATGTCAAGATATCTTATTAATGAAAATAAGATACCAGATATACTAAGCAAATTTCCTAAATTTGCTTGTAACAGATAAGTGAACTATAGATATGTAGATATAAATCCATATGTATTCCTGTTAACCCTTTGGGGGCCTAGTTCCTAGGCCTTTTGTGTATCCATATGCTCTCGCGCTACCGTCCACAGGATGGATATGGGGTGCACAATAAACTAGCCACTTCGGTGGCAAAATCTAAAAAATCTATAACAGAGTCACAACAACAAGCACAGTCACTATAACAGAGTCACAACAACAAGCACAGTCACTATAACAGAGTCACGACAACAAGCAGAGTTACTATAACAGAGTCACAACAACAAGCAGAGTTACTATAACAGAGTCACAACAACAAGCACAGTCACTATAACAGAGTCACAACAACAAGCAGAGTTACTATAACAGAGTCACAACAACAAGCAGAGTTACTATAACAGAGTCACAACAACAAGCACAGTCACTATAACAGAGTCACAACAACAAGCAGAGTTACTATAACAGAGTCACAACAACAAGCAGAGTCACTATAACAGAGTCACAACAACAAGCAGAGTTACTATAACAGAGTCACAACAACAAGCAGAGTCACTATAACAGAGTCACAAAAACAAGCAGAGTTACTATAACAGAGTCACAACAACAAGCACAGTCACTATAACAGAGTCACGACAACAAGCAGAGTTACTATAACAGAGTCACAACAACAAGCACAGTCACTATAACAGAGTCACGACAACAAGCAGAGTTACTATAACAGAGTCACAACAACAAGCACAGTCACTATAACAGAGTCACGACAACAAGCAGAGTTACTATAACAGAGTCACAACAACAAGCAGAGTTACTATAACAGAGTCACAACAACAAGCAGAGTTACTATAACAGAGCCACAACAACAAGCAGAGTTACTATAACAGTCACAACAACAAGCACAGTCACTATAACAGTCACAACAACAAGCAGAGTTACTATAACAGAGCCACAACAACAAGCACAGTCACTATAACAGTCACAACAACAAGCAGAGTTACTATAACAGAGCCACAACAACAAGCACAGTCACTATAACAGAGTCACGACAACAAGCAGATCATAATAACAAGTAGAGTCACGACAAGCAGTCACAACAAGAAAAGTCACTACAACAAGCAGAGTCATAACAGCAGTCACAACAACAAGCAGAGTCACTATAACATAGTCATTATAACAGTCACTACAATAAGCAGAATCACTAAAACAGTCACAACAACAAGCAGAGTCACTAAAACAGTCACAACAACAAGCAGTCACAAAAACAGTCACAACAACAAGCAGAGTTACTATAACTGAGTCACGACAACAAGTAATAACAGTCACAATCAACAAGCAGAGTCACAACAACAGAAGTCACACAACAAGCAGAGTCACTATAACAAATAATGCAACAGCCACAGAGTCACTACAAAAAGCAAGTCAACACATACAACAAAGCAGAGTCACAACAGGCAGAGTCACTACAAAAAGCATAGTCACTACAACAAGCAGAGTCACAACAGGCAGTCACTACAAAAAGCAAAGTCACTAAAACAGTCACAACAACAAGCATCCCCTACAACAAGCAGAGTCACTACAATAAGCAGTAACAACAAGAATCACTACAACAAGCAGAGTCACTATAAAAAGCAGTCACTATAACAGTCACGACATCAAGCAGAGTCACAACAGAGTTACTATGACAATCACAGCAACAAGCAGAGTCACTCTAACAGAGCCACAACAACAAGCAGAGTCAGTAAAACAGTCACAACAACAAGCAGAGTCTCAACCTACCTCAGAGTTCATCACTGTATCATGCTAACACTTCCAGCACACATCAACAACTGACACACTGTCGCGGCGCGTCATAGTACCCAGGTTCGCGTGCCCGCCAAATTGCCTGCACTCACTTGTGCGCCATAATACACGTGTTCAACTGCGCGGCAAAATTTCTGCACCTGTTTTGCGCGGCACATTACCAGAGCTCTGCTGACACATACAGGTGAGTACAGGTTAGACTCAGAAGTGTCCCTGTTCGCAGATGATGTGAAGTTAATGAGGAGAATTAAGTCAGATGAGGATCAGGCAGGACTTCAAAGAGACCTGGACAGGCTGGACACCTGCTCCTGCAGAATATGGGCGCCTGGCAAACCTGAGAATAGCGCTCCGATACCTTAGTAAGGAATCGTTCAAGACACTGTACACCGTGTACGTCAGGCCCATATTGGAGTATGCAACACCTGTTTAGAACCCACATTTGATCAAGCACGTCAAGACATTTGAGAAGGTGCAAAGGTTTGCGACAAGATTAGTTCCAGAGTTAAGGGGAATGTCCTACGAAGAAAGGCTAAGGGAAATCGGCCTGACGACACTGGAGGACATGAGGGTTAGGGGAGACATGATAACGACATATAAAATACTGCGTGGAATAGACAAGGTGGACAGAGACAGGATGTTCCAGAGAGGGGACACAGAAACAAGGGGTCACAATTGGAAGTTGAAGACCCAGATGAGTCAAAGGGATGTTAGGATGTATTTCTTCAGTTCTAGAGTAGTCAGGAAGTGGAATAGCCTAGCAAGTGAGGTAGTGGAAGCCGGACCTATACATAGCTTTAAGATGAGGTATGATAAAGCTCATGGAGCAGGGAAAGAGAGGACCTAGTAGCACTCAGTGAAGAGGCGGGGCCAGGAGTTGAGTCTCGACCTCTGCAATCACAATTAGGTGAGTACAGCTCTGCTGTCTGGTGCTCAGCAGACGGAACATCGAACTCCACCACGTTTTGCGCTGTGACTCACATGGGTTCTCTACACATATGCTCATTACAATTGTGACCAGGTGTGGACGTGTCAGTGGCTCATTACTTTGTAACTTGTTCATGATTGTAACCATGTATAGGAGTGAGGCTGATTCATTACCTTCGTAACTTGCCATGATTGTGGCCAGATCTACCTGGAGTTCATTACCTTTGTAACTAGTTCAGCTATCATAACTTTGGGGTCCAGTCCCTGTACCCATTATGTACCTCTGTAATCTTTTGAATACCGCCCACATGAGGGATATGGGGTGCATAATAAACATATTAAACTAATACACAAATAACCCGCACATAGAAGAGAGGAGCTAACAGTCCGATTTGGACCATTTACACAGTCACACGGGTTATTTGTGTATTGTTCCAGCCACGGTATTGTGCCTTTTTGTTACATATTAAACTAAAAAACTAAACCACTCAAATCCGACTACCCTCAGCGACAATGTTAACGACGATGACTACCAGCAAACTTACCCTTAAATATTGACGAAACCTACTACATGCTGTTTGAAAACAGAACTTCAAATATTCAATTGAACATATATATATAAACATATAGCTATAAGCTATGCTGATACACACAATATGATACACACATGATACACACAACAGGGCATGAGCACCATTCTTAATGAAGTTCAAGCAATTTGTAATCGACTAGGCCTCATAATATCTTCCTCTAAAACAAAGATATTAACAAGCAAACGACATCCCCCACCCATCTGTTTGCAGGGTGAAAGCATTAGCTACGTTAAAACTTACAGATATCTTGGTGTAGATGTACCTTTTAACAAATCCACTGTACCACATTATTATTATTATAATCAAGGGGGAAGCGGTAAACCCGGAGGATTATACAGCGCCTTGGGGGGGATGTGGAAGGCATTCAGGCTTAATTTGGGGAACTGGAGCACAGATCCAATTCCCTAAATCAAGAGCCCCTCACCAACATCAAGGAACCTTCCTTGAGGGGTCCACTATACCACAACTAAATAGGAAATGCAAAGATAGGCTAAATGCTCTCAAAGCTGTTAAGTAAGTAAGTAAGTAAGTTTATTCAGGTATACACAAATACAATTACATAGAATTATCATACATAGCAGCATATGTGTAGAGAACCTGGGATAACCCAAAAAAGTCAGACAGAGTGACTTATTTCCATTGGGGTCCTTTTACCTTATTATTATAATATAAAGGTTATAATATTTTCTTATTATTCTACAATGAAGATAACATCTTATTATCATACTAAAAAGACTATCTACTACACCAAAGTCATTAAGGCTATCTACAATACGAGGGTCATTACTAGGAATAAGGTAAAATTTACACGTACGTTAGCTAAAAAATAGAAAATCATTCCCCTCCCTTTCTGTAGCTACATTCATCAGACACCTTTTGGCACTCTTCTTGAACTGGTTCATGCTATGACTGGCTTTGACATGTGCGGGCAGTCTGTTCCATTCCTTTATTGCTGTACAATAAAAGGTGTTTGAAGCCTGGCCACTGACTGTGGGTACTACAAAGTTGTGCTCTCTCCCCCTAGTACTATGATTGCTTTGGTTCCCAACCTTGACAAAATTGACAGCAAGATATTCTGGACATTGTTTGTGAGCAATTTTATAAACATGATTTAGCTTCAGTTGTTTTACTCTGTCTTCAACATTCAGCATATCCAACTGCTGTAATTCATCCTGGCCTATATGTTCTCTTGGTCCCAGCCCCAGGATGAATCTTACGATTTTGTTCTGGGTGATTTGCAGTCTATCTTTCAGTTTTTTTTTTGTCAAGGCAGAGTACCAAGAAGAGCAAGCGTAATCCATATGGCATTGCATAAGGGCTAGACATAGGGTCCTGCGAGCCTCAGTAGGTAGACACTGTGCTTGTCTATACAGGAACTTCAGTCTGGCATTCGCTTTCTTTACTACACTGTTCCCTATCAATTCTCCTGACATGCATGGGTCAAAGGGGATTCCCAACTATTTTACTGATGAAACCAAAGTGATGGGCTCCCCATTACATTGAACATTAAAATTATTTACCCTTCTCAGTTTATGTTTCGTGCCAAAGAGAATGGCTTCAGTTTTCCCAACGTACGAGCCACAGCCCGGCTGGTCAGGAACCGACTTTAGGTGCTTGTCCAGTGCCAGCTTGAAGACTGCCAGGGGTCTGTTGGTAATCCTCCTTATGTATGCTGGGAGGCAGTTGAACAGTCTCGGGCCCCTGACACTTATTGTATGGTCTCTTAACGTGCTAGTGACACCCCTGCTTTTCATTGGGGGGATGTTGCATCGTCTGCCAAGTCTTTTGCTTTCGTAGTGAGTGATTTTCGTGTGCAAATTCGGTACTAGTCCCTCTAGGATTTTCCAGGTGTATATAATCATGTATCTCTCCTGCCTGCGTTCCAGGGAATACAGGTTTAGGAACCTCAAGCGCTCCCAGTAATTGAGGTGTTTTATCTCCGTTATGCGCGCCGTGAAGGTTCTCTGCACATTTTCTAGGTCAGCAATTTCACCTGCCATGAAATGTGCTGTTAGTGTGCAGCAATATTCCAGCCTAGACAGAACAAGTGACCTGAAGAGTGTCATCATGGGCTTGGCCTCCCTAGTTTTGAAGGTTCTCATTATCCATCCTGTCATTTTTCTAGCAGATGCGATTGATACAGTGTTATGGTCCTTGAAGGTGAGATCCTCCGACATGATCACTCCCAGGTCTTTGACGTTGGTGTTTCGCTCTATTTTGTGGCCAGAATTTGTTTTGTACTCTGATGAAGATTTAATTTCCTCGTGTTTACCATATCTGAGTAATTGAAATTTCTCATCGTTGAGCTTCATATTGTTTTCTGCAGCCCACTGAAAGATTCGGTTGATGTCCGCCTGGAGCCTTGCAGTGTCTGCAATGGAAGACACTGTCATGCAGATTTGGGTGTCATCTGCAAAGGAAGACACGGTGCTGTGGCTGACATCCTTGTCTATGTCGGATATGAGGATGAGGAACAAGATGGGAGCGAGTACTGTGCCTTGTGAAACAGAGCTTTTCACCGTAGCTGCCTCGGACTTTACTCTGTTGACGACTACTCTCTGTGTTCTGTTAGTAAGGAAATTATAGATCCATCGACCGACTTTTCCTGTTATCCCTTTAGCACGCATTTTGTGCGCTATTACGCCATGGTCACACTTGTCGAAGGCTTTTGCAAAGTCTGTATATATTACATCTGCATTCTTTTTATCTTCTAGTGCATCTATGACCTTGTCGTAGTGATCCAATAGTTGAGACAGACAGGAGCGACCTGTTCTAAACCCATGTTGCCCTGGGTTGTGTAACTGATGGGTTTCTAGATGGGTGGTGATCTTGCTTCTTAGGACCCTTTCAAAGATTTTTATGATATGGGATGTTAGTGCTATCGGTCTGTAGTTCTTTGCTGTTGCTTTACTGCCCCCTTTGTGGAGTGGGGCTATGTCTGCTGTTTTTAGTAACTGTGGGACGACCCCCGTGTCCATGCTCCCTCTCCATAGGATGGAAAAGGCTCGTGATAGGGGTTTCTTGCAGTTCTTGATGAACACGGAGTTCCATGAGTCTGGCCCTGGGGCAGAGTGCATGGGCATGTCATTTATCGCCTGTTCGAAGTCATTTGGCGTCAGGATAACATCGGATAGGCTTGTGTTAACCAAATTCTGTGGCTTTCTCATAAGAAATTCATTTTGATCTTCGACTCTCAGTCTGGTTAGCGGCTTGCTAAAAACTGAGACATAGTGGGACTTGAGTAGCTCACTCATTTCCTTGCTTTCATCTGTGTAGGACCCATCTTGTTTAAGTAGGGGCCCAATACTGGACGTTGTTCTCGACTTTGATTTGGCATAGGAGAAGAAATACTTTGGGTTTCTTTTGATTTCATTTATGGCTTTTAGTTCTTCCCGCGATTCCTGACTCCTATAAGATTCCTTTAGCTTAAGTTCGATGCTTGCTATTTCTCTGACCAGTGTCTCCCTACGCATTTCAGATATATTGACCTCTTTTAGCCGCTCTGTTATTCTTTTCCGTCGTCTGTAAAGGGAGCGCCTGTCT